TCAAAAGGGCAAGAATGCTTTTTGTGGCCAAGGATGTGGGCTCTGGTGTCAGGCTACCTGCATCTGCATTGTGTTCTTCCACCGGGAGGACACATGACTTGGACAAGTTATGTAAACTCTCTAATTCAGCTTTATAATGAAGAATAATGTACCTATTCACACAATCACAGATAATTAAATGAGGAAAACTATGCAGGGAGTTCATCATGGTGCCTGTCACAAAGAAAGCCCAAGAGAAACAGTGACCCTTATGCTTTTACCTATTTTATTTATTGGACTTAATATTTCACTTGAAGAAGAGATTAGCTTGCATTAAAAAGAAATACTTTATGAAAACACGGTTCTAGAAATGTTTGACTATAGAGATTTCAACCTGACTCTCCCTTGGGATCTTTGTAACTTAAATGGCTGATGGAGACAGTGTTACTCCTTTCCTCCGCTATTCAGAGACACAAGCCCATGCCCTGCCTGCTCCCTAGAACATGTCAGTGGCAAAAAAAAAAAAAACAAAAACAGCAACCCATGACTTCAATTTCAGAGCAAGCCACAGGTGCTGGTGGGTGCCAGCTTCTAGCAGCATGGCATAGAAAGAAATGAACGCTTTTGCCAGTGTTGGGAATATGACTGTAATATACCTACTGCAAATATTTACCTTTTTAGCTGGAATACCAGGGGACACTAGGGTTTCTGTTTGAATAGAGCTTTGAGGCAGAACTCATTGAAATGACATGGAAAGCTTTGCATAAATCAACTCTTTTATGATTATATTTGTAACACATCATGCCATCAGACTGCAAAATAAAGCTTGAGAGGACAAAATAGTCCCAGTTATTTATATATAAGTCTTGTTCCCAAAGCAGATTTGTGGATAACTTTGCATAAAATATAATAGGAGATATTTCATTCTTGGAAAAAAGGACTATCAATAGGGTTGAAAAAGCAGTGGAATTTAGGGGTTACAGTCTAGGGATTATAGCAGATATCTTTGGAGTCAGACACACGTTTGAGAAAATAAAGCATTTTGAGTATCAAGAACCTAAAATAGATGCAATAAGCCTTAACTTTGATAGTAATAATAATAGTAACTCTTTTTTTTTTCATTTATTTTTATTAGTTGGAGGCTAATTACTTTACATCATTTCAGTGGGTTTTGTCATACATTGAAATGAATTAGCCATGTATTTACATGTAATAATAGTAACTCTTAAAAAATTTATTTTATATTGGAGTATACTTGATTTACAATGTTGCATTGGTAATTATTAATACTATTATTTTACAAAATTCCAGCAAAGATGATTAGGTTGTTTTTCATCTTATCCTGTTATTTTTTCCTGCTGCTGTTGTTTGTGATTTTTAGATCAATCCCCAAATATTCACAGACTACAATCATTTCAATATTCTCCAAGGAGTTAGTGGATCACACCAAGCTATGGGAATGAGATTGAGGTATCTGTGTTTTTACGACCAGAAGGCAAGATAACTTGTCCTAAAACTGTTTGATCTTGTTACCATTTTTGCTGAATACTTTTGAGTCACGCAAGGGTACAGAATGCCTTTTATTCAAAGGCTTTCAGAAGAGAGATTACATCGACAGAAATTCAGAGCAAGCTGCTGAAAAGCTGTATTAATCCAGATCCCGGGCTATTACACTAAATATTTGACAGGAATCCAAATTTTCTTGTAGCCTTCCCCTAAGAAGATAATCTTTCATAATTTTAACTGTGAAACGGGAGGACTTGATCTTTTGAAATGGAAAGGGTGAGCCTAATTGAATTTCCTTCTTTGGTTTCTTATTTAAGATGGGACCAGATTGAATCATATTCAATTAATAATTATATGTAGACATATTGATCTTTGCAGAAGTCGAAAATAAGATTAACAAAACTAGAAAAAGATGTAGGGGGCAACGGCCCCAATTCAACACTTAAAGGGCCAGGCGTATGTAAGAGCAAAGACCTATTTCAATGCCATATATTTATGTGATTTGGAACAGGCTGGGCCATTGTTTTTCATCAGCTCAAGAACTGAGTGGAAAATTGTGTGATACTGAGCATCACCTTTGAGGGAAAAATAAACGTATAAATGCCTCCAAGGATAATCTGGGCATACTATTTCGACCTGTCCCCTCTGCTGACTACCCACCAGATACACCATGATCCTGGGAGTTGCTGACCCAAGGGACACCCATCATGCTCACTTCTCAGCCCACCCACCTGTTTTCCAGCCACTGCAGCTCAGCTTTTAAAACTGTCATCTTCCACAAGGTTCTAGTAACCACAGAAGCAAATTTTATGGACTAATAATTGTGATATGAGATCTGACAAGTACATTTAAATATTTTAAAACTGGAACTGTCAAAGAGTGCAGTCTCCATAAAACTCTCCCTCTGTAAACTTTTCTGGGATATTTTTTCTTCTATATCTTAAACACTGGCATTTTAACAGATAATAGACTTACATCTCTATTTGTATAGTGGACCCATGGCAGTGGTGTGAGTGCTTCTAGGGCACACTGACTGACTCTTCTGTTCTTAGGTGACCACAGTACAAAACATACAGGAGGAGCTTAATTAGTGCTCTCTAAATGGAGTTGGGGTGTGCGTGCGTGCATGTGTGTGTGTGCATGTGTGCGTGTGTGTGCGTGTGCGTGCGCGTGAGTTTGAGGTGAGGAGGTGGTACTAGTTTGGGAGCCAGAATCTGGAATTTTCATCCCATCCCTGACCTTTGACATCTGTGTGAGCCTGAATCAGTCTCCATATCTGTGGAATGGGCATAATAACCCATAATGAGGCCCACGTTGTGATGATGTTATATGACATTTGTGCAGTATCTGGTGTGCAGTGGAAGTTCAATTTATAATCATTCCCTTATTGAACAGTAACCCTGACCTAAGAAAGATTTTGGGATAAGAGAAGGACTGGAGGGCAGTACTCATGAGCAAGGACATTGGACCCAGACTGCCTAAGTTCAAACCCCAATCCTAAACCTTCTGGCTGTGGAATCTGGGGCAAACTGCTTAACGTTTGTACATCTTAGTGTCCTCACCTGTGAAATATGGATGCTGCCAGTATCCGTGTCCTGGAGAGTGAGGGTGACATGAGTGAACACCTGTGCGTCCCTTACGAGGGCTGAAACAGCCAAGTACGTGGCTTTAGTATTACCAAGGATGACACTACCTAAGACACACAAATGAACTTAGTTTACTTTAAGGTCTCTGAAACTCTGACTCTATAGTTCTGCAAAGAAAACATATATACTCTTTCCTTTAAAGTCCCACAAATAAAATAACATAGCATACATACTGAGACAGTCCCCAATGTCTACACACACACATCAGAGTTTCATCTTTTTCCTTCCTCTGTCACAACTCACTTATCTGCTACATGCAGTATCTAAAGGTCCACCAATTTATGACCTGTCATAACCAGCTAGGAAGCTGGCTTGAAAAAGAGATCTGAACTCAAACCCAATATTCAACTTGAAGATTGTCAGAATATGTCTTCTCTAGCCATGGTTTTTTTGGTGAGCCAGAAGTGCCTTATCTAAAATAGATGCTTGAAGAGCAAAGGTCTGGACTCAGAGCCCAGAATTAAGATGAACTTTCAGGGAAACACGGAATGAAGTTCATCAGTGTCTAAATATGAAGCCTCGTCCAGCAGATTGGCTGTGTCAGCACAAAGAGCATTACAGAACTGGCTGGAAGTCTTCAGAGGACGGGGAAACAAAACACCTTCCAAGAGTAGGTACAAGTTATCCACACAGCTCCACATCGGTGAACGTGCAAAATAACCTGGGGACTCCAAGACAGGTAACAGAGTGGGCTCTGCATCAAGAAGAACAATGAGCTAAGATAATAAACTAGTTCTGTGACTTATTCAGTATTTAAGTTCTTTGAAACAACACTCTGCTACCGACCACCATCCCACACATCTTCCTTGCTACTGGCCTTGCTGCTTCCTCTTCTCTAGTCACCAGTCGTTTACAATGACCTTCACAGGACACTGCAGCTGCTTTAGATATTTCCCAAAACAGCTCAGGAAAAACTCATATCATTGCCGTGATTTTCATGTATCTACTTATACCAGTCTTCTCTGTATCAGTCTTGTTCTTTCAGTTCTTCTGTCATAGAAACTCTGCCAAGTATTGTTCTTTTTCTTATACCCAAATAGGATTCAAATGCATTTCAAATCAGGCAAACAATAAGAATTGGGCCCACATGGCTTTCAGATGGAACAGAATGTAACGACTAAAAAGACCAAATGAAGAAACAGACAATGTGATTTCACAGGAAAATCTTAAGTACAGAGGAAGGCTTATTACCAGAGAGTTACCTGCAGCCCTTCACGGGAACATCAGGTAGATGTCTAATGAAACCCGAGTTCTTGGGAGAGGCGTCAGACATAAAGGAGGCTATTCTGGTGCTCGGAAAGGGCAGCTACTGTCTCACAACGGAGCTCTGTTCAGTGACAGAAAAGGAGTCGGGGACACACATAAGACAGGAAGGAAGGGGACGAGGAAACAGAATAGAGTTGCAGTGATTGAACTGAATAAATGACTCTAGACAGTTATACAGACAGGAGGAGCTAAGGCGGTAATGACAAAGAGAACCATCCTCTGGAAAGACTTCCCTGCTCCACTGTGCCTACTAAAACCTTCCTCATGTTTGACTCACTGCAGAGATTCACATCCCTGTAACGACTCCAAGGCACCTAGCAACTCCCCCCTGACATCTGATGGACTTACTCTTAGTACCAGTGCTTGTCAACTAGGGGGGATTTTTGCCCCCGCAGGGGACACTGCCAATGTCTAGAGACATTTCTGGTGGTCACAACTGGGAGGATGCTATCTCTAGTGGTAAACAACAGGGAGGCCACTAAACATCCTACCATGCTCAGGACAGCCACACAACAGAGGGCCGATCATGCAGTGGTTGAAAACGCTGCTCTGTATCACTGCTACCTGGCCCCAAATGCTCATGGCCTTGAACTTTAGCTCCATTTACTGGGTATATGCATTGAGTCTCTGTGTACCTTTAAGTATTTTTGGAACATGGACCACACGATACTTTATGCCATTGCCCAGTATGCTGGGCACAAGGCCTTGCAAGTGGTAGGCAGTGTGTGAATGAGGGGAGAAGAGAAAAGACAAGATGTGTCTATTTTTCTGTGAGTCAAGGCTGAAGCCTTTTGGCAGCTTTAATGGCAAATCTCGCTGGGCACAGAGGGCATGGCAAAAAGCACCATTTTCTATTTGATCAAGGGGTGAGAAGTGAGGGCTAGACTGCCGCATCATTTCCATTAGTTGATGAAAGAAAACAATGAAAGATGGGCATTCTGAATGATGCTTTTGCATATGATTTAGAGAAATGTCCCAAAGCTGTCCAGGCCAGGTAAAAATTCATCTGCCGCCTCAGGATGCTGCTGAGTTCCTACTGGTCCTTCCCACGGCAATGACTGCAATGACCCTGGGCTTTTGAAGCTTTAGCGGAGCAGAAATAACATAGACAACCTCTCACTCCCTCTTTCCCTCTTCTTCACCCTCTTCCCTACTGCACTTTTGTTGTATCTTCTTTCCGTTCTGGTTGGCCAGGGAAAAGCACAAATCACTGACCCAGGTTGATGTGGCCAGCATCACCTTTGACGTAAGTCCCTCCTAAGGTCCACACCATGCTGGCCCTCGAGTGTGGCTCTCTTATTCTACTGCTTTATAATTGGTACCTCAAAAGTTGTTGCCTGACTGGACTGAGGACTGGCTCCCTGGTGCTATGACAATGCATTACCCGCCGTTAGTCCAGCCAGCTCCGACAGCAGCACTAGGTGCATATAACAGACCCTGTATGTGTCTGTTGAGCCCCTGAAAGGGGATACCTGTGGCCTCTGAGATGAAGCCAGTTCCCAACCAGCATAGCATGGAAGCCTCAGGTCAGGCCATCTCAGATAGCTGCTCAGATGGCAGAGGCTGCAGGCTTGAAGACATTCCTGCCTGGGAAAAAGAGGTAGCCGCTAAGTTCTTGTTCCAGAACATTCTTGTCAATAGCTGCATGTAAATTTCTGAATATTCATCTCTAATTTGAGGCTAGATGTTATTTTAAGTGATAATGAACTGCATTATTCCAGACAACATATTTACCAAAATGTAGCTTTTCTTTCTGTACTTATCCTCTTAGGTGGCTAAAAAAATACAAAAATAGAATCTTAAACTAGTCACTCCAGAGTTTTCTCAAGCCAGTGTCACCAGAGATGCAGGCTTAAGGGATGTCACCATGTGAACCTCACAGACTCCTCCAGGGGAGGGAGAAGAGCTCTTCTCTTGTCCTGCTCTTTCTGTTCAGTGCTGGCCTTTGCTCTAACCTTGCCTCTTCTTCCTGGAATTTAACAGAAGCAAACAATCCTCAGTGCTGGCCACTGGTTAGTCTGCAGGATCCCATAACTCCACTCAGACTACATGGCGGGGCAAAGCACTGAGGTTCAGCCCATCCCTAATAGGAACCTTCCCGTTTCCTCCTGATGTTCCTCCATGGACCCTCCTCTATAGCTCACTTTTGGACTCTACTTGCAGGAACTTTCTGAGAACTTTGAGCTGACTCCAGCCTCTCTGGCATGAATCACCCTACCACACCCACTGTGCCACACAGCCTAGGGCATGTGCCCCAAGGCAGCTGCTCTATATTTAGCCAGGCTACAGTCATGCACAGTCCCACTTTCTTGTGACTCCCAAGCTTCAAGTAGGTTTCCATCAACTGCTGCCCCAGCTCATCCCTGAGTGTCCTGCTCCCTTTTCATACATGATCTTTCCTCTTCAGTGCTGTTTCTCTGCTGGAAAAAGGGAGTGGGGGAAATATGAATGAAGGGACCAGTTGAGTACATTTTCATTCTCCTGGTGATCTTTCCTGTGTTTGAACTTAAGGGCTGACATTTGAAACTAGAAGTCAAGATTCCAGCAAACTTTTTCACTGATATGTTTCAGTGAAACATATTCATTTCACACCACTGCCAGGGAAACTGGCTGCTCCTTCCTAATTGCATGCAAGATGCTTAATCAATGTACAAGAAAAACCTGGCAGGTATAAAATTTTGAGACATTTCAACTCCTGGTGAGTGCTTTTAAATATGGCCCATGGTTTGTTTATTATTTTTTTAGTCTACTTCATTGTCCAAAATTCCCTTTCTCATGACTGACCTACACAAGGCCTTTAAATAAAGCTGGTAGGTGTCCAGGCCTCCAACATTTTGTCCCATTCTCTAGATGAGAAAAGAGATCAGAAAGAATGAAGGACTGAACCCTCTTACACTGTTGGTGGGAATGCAAACTAGTACGGTCACTATGGAGAACAGTGTGGAGATTCCTTAAAAAACTGGAAATAGAACTGCCATATGACCCAGCAATCCCACTTCTGGGCATACACACCGAGGAAACCAGAACTGAAATAGACACATGTACCCCAATGTTCATCACAGCACTGTTTATAATTGCCAGGACATGGAAGCAACCTAGATGCCCATCAGCAGACGAATGGATAAGAAAGCTATGGTACATATACACAATGGAATATTACTCAGCCATTAAAAAGAATACACTTGAATAAGTTCTAATGAGATGGATGAAACTGGAGCCCATTATACAGAGTGAAGTAAGCCAGAAAGGTAAACACCAATACAGTATACTAACACATATATATGGAATTTAGAAAGATGGTAATAATAACCCTATATGCAAGACAGAAAAAGAGACACAGAGGTATAGACTGTGTCCACAGACTTTTGGACTCTACAGGAGAAGACGAGGGTGGGATGATATGAGAGAATGGCACTGAAACATCTATGTCATCAAGTGTGAAACAGATCGCCAGTCCAGGCTGGATGCATGAGACAAGTGCTCGGGGCTGGTGCACTGGGATGACCCAGAGGGATGGGATGGGGAGGGAGGTGGGAGGGGGGTTCAGGATGAGGAATACATGTAAATCCATGGCTGATTCATGTCAATGTATGGCAAAAACCACTACAATACTGTAAAGTAATTAGCCTCCAACTAATAAAAATAAAGGAAAAAAAAAAAAGAATGAAGGACTGATGTGCTCAAGTTTTGGGAACACAGTCTAGAAAAGTGCCCACAGCATCTTAGGGTGGTTTAAGTACAACGGAACAACTAACATAAGGTCATGAGGACCCCAGGAAGTTTTCAAACTATAAAGAACATTTTAAGACAAAAACTGGAAGGATTTATTTCTTTTAGAGCTATCCATCTTCTGGTATTGCTTAAAAAATACCTTCTTGATATAGTCTGCAAGAGAGACCCAGTGTACCTCTCTCTCTCCTGTCAAACAAGAGGATAATGAACCTTGTTCGCCTTACCCCAGCCGGGGGTTGAAAGGACAAAGTGAGATGACAGACGTAAGACATCAATCTCAAGTCAGGAGATGATGAGAAGTCTCTCTGTGTGTTACTTGTGAGCACTGCCGGGGCACCTCCCCAAACCCCGGTCTTTGGTTTCCCACTTATTGGCTCAAGCAGAACAAGAGTTCACTCCTCACTTGACTGCTAGCCTCTCTTAACACAAGACATGACACCAGGCCAAGCAGTGGCCTCCTTGCTTCTTTGAATCCACCTATTCTCTAAATGTTCCCTCCTCAGCTAATGTTTTGCACCTTTACCCAATATGATTCTCCCATGGATTGTGCTCTCCATGCGAAGAACTGTTTGAATACTTTGCCTTTTAAGATCTCAAGGAGCGAGGAGAGATGTTAGTTGTTAATAAGAAGTGATTTCTTGGATCATTTTGTTTATCTCCTAAGAGGATGCTAAACATTGCTAAACATTCTCTTGTGACTGATTCATTCAGGAAATGAAATAATTTATTAAAAGGTGATTTTCCTTATATGAAAGGGCAAGTTACAAAAGTATTAGGTAATGTGAACTTCTTCTCTCATGTTTCACAGCCTTGATACAGCCCCCGTATCTAGGTAGATCTCAACTAATATGCATAAGTTGCTTCAGTTGCGTCCAACTCTTTGTAACCCTACGGACTGTAGCTCGTCAGGCTCCTCTATCCATGGGATTCTCCAGGCAAGAATACTGGAGTGGGTTGCCATATCCTCCTACAGGGATCTTCCCAACCCAGGGATTGAATTCAAGTCTCTTATGTCTCCTGCATTGACTGGTGGGTTTTTCTTTTTATTACTAGCACCACCTGGAAAACTCTAATAGGAGAGATGAGTTATTTAAAAGAAGGAAGTTGTGGTTAGAAAGTTTTGCAAGTTGAATCTTACAGCTTTAGTCAAAAATAATCATTCAACACCAATCCTGAATAGGCTACAATACACAAGGACTGTGGGGAATATATTAAAAATGAAATGCAAAGCAACTAGTTCTTAAATAAAACTAGGATTTTTTAAAAGTGCTAGTTGTAAAATGTTTTTCATACATATCTGACTTAATTCTCATAAAAAAAATCTGTGATTTGGCTATTATTGTTACGACAGTTATGTAAGCAAAAAATGGAGACTGACTTTGGCAGACCTTCGGTTAAAATTCCAGATCCCCTTCCTTCAAACTCCAAACTCTTCCCACCACACAAGGCTCAGAACTTTGGTTTGCCACAATCAGTGTTCCTCAGGGGAGTGGACACAAGGTGCTACCTGGTTCTTTCAGGAGCAGGCACTTCTTACGCCCTGGATCAACTGAATGAAGATGCAAAGAAGCAGGTCAAAGTCAAGGATGAAGTGTAAAAGTGCACTTCTGGAGGGCATCTGTGCAGAGCTGTCAGCTGGACTTAGGAAGAGGATGAGCTGGTCCGGGGGAGAGGGGAAGGGCAGGGAGAAGCAGTGAGAAGTGAGGGGAAGGAAGAGCAGAGATGGGAGGGAAGACGAAGAATGCAACTTAGAAATATACACTTAGTAGGTGAGAAAGAAGAACTAGAGAAAGTCACCAAAGGACGACCTCCAAGTAAGTTCCAAGCATGATCCCATATTGTAAAGTAATTAGCCTCCAACTAATAAAAAAAAATGAAAAAAAAAAAAAAACACCTAAATGCAGAAGCTCAGTTAAGCAAGGAACCAAGCAAGCAAGGCCATTGGTACAGCTGAGCTGGTGATTCTGATGGGGTCGAGGCAGAGTTCATGGCTTTATGGTGAGTAACACTGACACAGATGGCTGCGACTCCCAACTCCAACTTTCCCCACCAGCCACTCCCACCCCTTCCTCAACAAAGCCAGGAGAAAACCAGAAACAAAGCACCATAAACCCAAGAGAGGTTTCATATTGAAGAGAAAACACCATCTGCATCTTCTACTGAGCGACATATAGAATTTGGAGGTCAATGGCAAGGTCCCTGAACTCTTTCTTAAAGGAAAACAG